GCCGGGAGCGGCCACTGCACTCCAGTTTGGGCAACAGAGTGAGACTCCAACTTAAAAAAATAAAATAAAATAAAAAGAAGTTAGTCCTTTCATAATACTGTCTCAGAAGTGACAATCCGTTACTCCCTCCCTCCCTCCTTCCTGCTGGGCTCAGGTGATCCTTCTTCCTCAACCTTCCAAGTAGCTGGAACTATAGGCACATGCCACCATGCCCAGCTAATTTTTTGATTTGTTGTAGAAATGAGGTCTTGCCAAGTTGCCCAAGATGGTCTCGAACCCATGGACTCAGGCAATCCTTTCGCCTCCGCCTCCCAAAGTGCTGGGATTAAAGGCGTGAACAACTGCACCCAGCCCCCAGCCTTATTTTTTAAACTTTTTGTAGAGATGAGGTCTTGCTATGTGGCCCAGGCTGGTTTCGAACTCCGGCTTCAGCCTCCCAAAGTACTGGATGATAGGCATGAGCCACTGTGCCCAGTCATTGTGGCATGTTTCATTTGTTCTGCAATACTGCCACTAAATCCAGCCCACACTCAAGAAGAGGGGATTACATAAGGGCATGAATACTAGGTTCATGGGGAATCACTCTGAGGCTGCCTTTCGGGGCTATCGTATTGTCAGTGGAGACTATCAATCAACAAACAGATAATTCATATGCCAGGTGGAGATAAATGCTATGAAGAAAAAGAAAGCAGAGTAAAGGAATGCCTTTGTCACGAAATGACATTTAAATAGAATCTGAAGCAGATGAGTCAGTACACCACATGGGTGTCTGCAGAAGGGCATTCCAGCTAGATGGAAGAGCAGGTGCAAGCTCCCTGAGGCAGGAGTGCGCTTAGTGTCCAACAATCACACAGCCAGTGTGGTGGGAGCTGAGTGAGCAAGGGAGAAGATCAAGAGAGGTGGATGGGATTATGCAGAGACATAGAGAAAGCAATAGATTTTACTGGAAGGTTCCACACTGGAGTGTGATATGATCGGCTTCACTTTGAAAAGCCTATGGTATGGGGCGTAGATGGCACAAGAGCCAAGAAGGAAAGTGGGTGACAGCTGGGATTCCTCTGCAATGGCCCGGGGAGAGGCAGCCAAGTCTTTGGGTGCATTCAGGGAGGAGGGAAGAAGTGATTGGATTCCAGATACATTGGATAAGATTTGCTGATAGACTGGATAGGGTAGGACAGAGAGGAGTAAAAGACGATGCCATGCCTTTCCGAAGGAGCATCTCTAAGGTCGAGGTTGCCATTTGCTAGGATGGGGAGGGTGAGTCTGGGAGAGGAAATTGAGAATTTAACCTTGGTTTTCCGGCCATGTGAAGTTTGGGACACCTGATGGACGGTCAAGTGGAGATGTTGCAGAGGAAGGTGGAGCCTGGAGTTCAGGGGAGAGATTGAGCTTGGCAGCAGGAACCGGGGAGTCATCAGCATCGAGTCACCATTTAAACCCATAGCAGTAGGTGAGATGAGTCAGGTGAGGGATAAGTTTGTTTGTCTTGGGTTAGAGTCTTACTGTGTTGCCCAGGCTGGAGTGTAGTGGCATGGCCACAGCTTACCACAGCCTCAAACTCCTGGGTTTAAGCAATACTCAGCCTTGGTCTCTTGAGTGGCTGGGACTACGAATGCATGCCACCACTTCTGGCTAATTTTTTACTTTTTATTTTTGTAGAGATGGGGTCTCTCTATTTTGCCTAGGCTGGTCTCAAACTCCTGGGCTCAAGCAATCCTCCCACCTCAGCCTCCCAAAGTTCTGTGATTATAGGCATGAGTCACTGCACTCAGCTTGAGAATAAGTATTAATGGAGAAGAGAAGACATTTCTGGATTGAGCCCTGGAGCACATGGAACACATGGGAGGATAAGCAGGATCCGGTGAAGGAGATTGAAAAGGAGAAGTCAATGAAAAAGTACAAAAGATTCTGAGAAGACCAGGAGGTCCACCCAAGAGAGCAACAAGAGAGGTGCTCTCAACCTTTCAGACACCTCTAAGGGTCAGATGGGGCCACTGGATTTGCAAGGTAGCAGAAAGTCGTTGACTACATTAGAGAGAGCAGCTTGCAGAGAGTCATACGATTAGCAACTGACAGTGGTGGATTTTGGAGAAAGTAGAATGAAAAAAGAGACCTACTAATTATGGGCCTCACTTATAAGAATTCCAAAGTTAGAAACAATAAAAGCACAAGGGAAAACATTTATTAAGTTATACAAAATTAGCCGGGCATAGTGGCTCACGTCTGTAATCCTGGCACTTTGGGAGGCAGAGAAGAG